TGTGACGCCAATCCCCTCCTTTCTCACACCGAAGCAAATTATTAACGTTGACATCGCGTATGTCGGCATGAAGCAGGCCAGTGGAACTCTCATAAGGTCCTGCAAATGTGCACTATCATATCAAGTACTGTATAGCTTACTCTTGTATTTTTCTTGTAAATATAATTCCAATAATGTATTATTCATGATTGCACTTTATACCACTTTGTAGCCATGCAGGATTTTCTCCTCTTCCTGAAATAGCGTTCAAGCACGTGGTTGTCGCTCAACTTCGATGGAAACCTTCGTGGAAGATTTACAAATTAACAATTATAAGAATCTGTTCCGATAGCTTGTACTATATAATTTAACAATTTGAACTTTTAAAAAAGGTGATAATCTTACTATCCCTTGTAAACGTTGTACTTACCTCAATATTGGTTGGTTATCGTATGCCTACAACTACGGGTTGAAAACGAAACGAAGTCGATTTTCCTGCGCAACCTGGAGGACTACCGTTTAATTCAATAATGATACCACATGGGTCAGACAATGAGTGTATTTACATATATATATCAAATATTTAGGTGTTCAAACATTATTAACTTGTAGACAATCTACTATTTGTCATTATATCATGCTTGATCGTGCCTGTAAAAATGGTATGCATTTTCATGTAAATTTATGTTTATATGCAAATATAAATTATTATTATTAATTGCCACTTAGCCAACAGGCTCTTTGGAAGGGAGAAAACGTGTAGCCAACTACCATCCCTCGGCTATATTCACAATGTGGTCAATCATGCTGACGACTCTGTAGCACTTTTCAATGGAACTCATACAAATTCCATCGCATGTTTCTCGAGTCCCCTATAAAAGAGGATCGGAGCGCCGAATGAGTAGAGAAACACGATGATTTTCAGTTATTTCGGCGAACCTACGTACAGAAATAGGTGTGAAATAACAATGCTGAGTCCCATGAGAAACTCGGAGGTATTTTTAGAATGTTCCTCTTAACCGTTTCTCCACTTCCATCACATATCACAGTTGACCCACTCGTCGAGATTGCAACAGTTCCCCCCACGGAATTCACCCTGTTCTCGGCCAAACCCCTCAAAGTGACAGACAGATATATGTCATGGGTGTGAAATGTTAATAAATTGATTCCCAATTTGCTTACTTTTAGGTCAATCACAGATTTGTTGGTGAGCATGTATGTTTCCTGAGACTCACACTAGTTGTTTCATAACCCAACGGATCAACTCGAAATCATACGGCGAAAGCACGAGGAAAATAGTCCTGGTATATGCGAAGAGCATCTATGAAATCATTGAGAGACGCTTGAAACCATTTGGAATAAATATCACGCACAAACCAACAGACACTCTTCAGTCTATGCTATGTCAACCAAGAGACGCAGCAGCAAAGGAAGGCGAAATCGACACCATCTACGAGGTGAACTGCAGCATCCGTGGGAAACCTTATATTGTTCGGATTGGACTTCCTCTTCGTCATCGCATCCATGAAAATGAACTGGCTGCCAAAAATCTTGGTGTGCACTCTCTCATATTGATGTGTGCTGACATCAATTCAACAGTCGAATCGCAAAAGTAATAATGTATCCTCGTTTGGGTGTACATGAGGGAGGCCATTTTGCAGGCATCATGAATACACCAAATCATAATATATGGAGTAAGCATATGCACGGTAGCTAATGTCTAGTTGGAACTTTCATTAGCTGCGATATAAACAAGACATCGGTGTTGGAATAATCCTGATGAGGTCGCCTAACAGGGATAGAAGCAAACGGCATTTCCCGATTCTGGCTGTCAGCACTATTGAGGATTTAACGGAATGCGCGCGTTGTTTTTGTGGCGCGCTGTCAGGCACGGTAAGCTAGGTAACATTCCTGTGTCAACTGTGCTTGTCTAACTTCAGGTTGGTTGGATGGTGTGCAGGAATTGATCACTCCAGTGCAGCAGTAAATATTGTTTAGTTGGTAAAAGGCTTCAGACTAAGTCATAGTAAATCGCATCGCCAGTTTTGTGGTGGAATATGTGACTTGTTGCCGACGCACTCCGCTTGTGGCCCAAGTGGTCTAGTGGATAACACTTTTCAAGGATTAACACAGGCCACAAGAGCTTTCTATCTCTATCATATGAATCAGGAATGCAATGTCGTGGCGTTTATTCAAGCTGATGTACTTTGGTTATTTCGAAAGTCGGAAGGCTGCTTCAGTAAGACTTCATTCGCTTTGGTGATACCAATGCTTGCCTTGTTAATGGCTACAAGTGGCTCACCGCAGCAGTGTGCAGCTAAGTGTTTGAAGAAGTATAACTACCTCAACAGCAAACAGAAACAGGCAAACTTTAGTTTGTACTCGGTCAGCAACCAGGATGACATCGAGCTAACCCATATGAAGTGTTACGAGGCACGCTGAAGATGAAAATCACCCTCACAATTAGGTTTGTGACGGGACCCTCCGCAAATTTTGATCATTTCATTAGTTTCCCAGATTTGAAATAATGGATCAGGTTTGTAGATCAGTTGGATGATTTTGGTGTGGTTGCATTGTTCTAATTGCGAATCCTTGTTTGTCGATTTAGACAATGTTGTCAGCGCCAGCTTTAATAATGAATACATTCTCCATGAGTGATGCAATTCTGAAAGAAGTGAAAACGACAAATGCAGCAGGTTAATATGAGCTAATGTCACATTTTTGTTGGTCGTCTCCATTGGCTTGGGGTTGGGACACTCTTGTCATGTTGTTCATTCTTTTTTAATTAGTAAACTTTATCTGCAGTAGTGTGATTGTTAATTGGCGATTTGTCTGAGTACCAGGCTTCTAGAAATTCCCTGGTGTTTCCACTACTTACAGTCTCCCTATTTTTCCAGTCGAATTAGTGTCGGTAATTGTCTATGTGCATCGGTGTGGATGAATATATTTCGCTCGTTTAAATAATGATTCGACATGCTGACATCAAGGTGCTTGCATTGAATGAGGTCACATAAGACACGGATGGTTCCTGTCAGTGGAACAGTAATGAAGAGAAAGATGGCATCTAAGGCGACCATTCTTTTATCTGCAAGATTGACATTCCCAATTGGATCGACAAAGTTGAATGTATCCCGGCGATTGTGTCACAGCATTCGAATAATGTCCACCAGCCACTTCGCGGTTGAGTGATATGGAGAGTTTGTCATATCTAGTATTGGATAGCGTGGAACATGTTTATGTACCCTTAGGCGAGTCGTATATGCGAGGCGTTGTTTAACCAGTTGGATGAAGTGGTCCGTATAGTTACGTGCCGATAAATGATTCATCTCTCATTTCTTCAATATTTTTGTCAGTTGCTGTTCTGCCGGTTCAGTGGGATCTTCTAAAGACGTCTGTTTTAAAAGCTTCTTGTCACTAGATAAAATCAGTGAAATTTCATCAAGATAGTCTGATTTGTTCAGCAGAACAATTCCAAAGCTTATCCAATTGTTTCAATTGATTTCAGTGCTCTTTGGACAGAAAATTACGAAAGGTAGATTTTATTGATGTAATCGAGACATCAATTTAAGACAGTTGACTTCAAATGGCATCCATGGAACTGGGACTGGATCGTCTGTCTGATTAAATAGATTCTCCAGTTGAACTTTTATGTTCAATTCAGTAGCTCTTGATGTTGCGTCACAGAAGACTCTCCAACCTCGCTCACCAAAGGAGAACATAGGTGTGTTTCTATAGCTCGGTAACAGGAGGTCTGGTGAACTCAGGACACAAAGCTGCACTTGGGAAATCCTTCAAATTCCTATACAAGATCCCATCAAACATCTCAAAAGGAGTGAGATCAAGATATCTGGGCATAGTTAAAGCATTAGCGATGCAAAAGTTTAAGTTAAAACAGGTACGTCCAATCTTTGTCTTCACCATGGCCATCATAAACAGTCTAATTTCTCAATAATTATTATCCGATTATTTTCCTTATCCGAGCTTCCTATTTATTTTCCTTATTATCCCGTGTGTAATTTCCGTATGCACAATCGGTCAGCTTCTTCAACAATTGATGAGAAATTCGCATTAGGACACTAGAAAATCAAAACAAGAGATTCAACGAAGAGTCTCTTTCAACGAATCAGTCGTCAAGCTGTACAATCGTATATATATAAATTTGTGCATATAAATGATTGGTTGGAGTATCTCATCATGAGCTGGCATCAGTTAGAGAACCTGGGAGCACTGGGCAGTTGTTTCGTCCCAGTTCGGGACTCAATAACAGTACGCAACTCTCGGTAGGGACATGAGTTCCTTCAAGGTTGCAGATATGCCTTGCTGACGAGTGTCAACTGGCACCAAACCTAGGTCCAAGGCTTCCTGCCGATTGTCTCCAACCATCTGGTATATAAATGACTTTATTAATAATGTGAAGTGATGAAAATGTGTATTTGCTTAGATCGTGCTGTTTGTTATCATCTACCTAAATTAATGATAAAAAAGTGACAAAGGACAGGAAGATAGGAAGAAGTACCAGGAGTCCTCAAGGAGTGATGTATATATATATATATTCACTTTCCTTGGAAATCATGAAGTGTATTGACGCAATAACTAGTCATGTTATGCTAACGTCTATATTGCATATAGGAGTTGATATTTATGCCCTGTGTAGAAATGTTTGGCAATTCTAACTAAGAAGGCACTGCGATTTTATGTACGGAACACCTTTATTATGCATTTCTATGATCTATAAATTAATACCCACTTCGTTTCCTTTGTTTTTCCCGAACAATACACAAGACAATGCATTCTAGAAATGAGAAGTGCCATTCTGTTTTCGTTGGTTGCTAATTCATTTTAAAAGAGAATTTTCCTACACTGTCACTATGATATCATGGGAGGTATGTTTCATTGTTGCATTTATAATAATTGTTGATTAATTATTGTCAACTAATCAATACTACAAAATAAAACAAGAAAAACCACCTCAAAAAAGGTGTAGACGCTTGAATTATAAATTCCTCAAAGATTTCATCAAGATGTTTCTTAAACATCCTCAGTTGCATAGTGATAGTGCTAGTTGTACTACATCCTGTATACATGATTTTATTTCACAATTTGATGACGGTCAAAGCATAAAGTAGTTATCCTTCAATGCCGTGTCTTTTGACGTTACTCTCGAATTGTTTTGTTTTTTGTGTTATCAATGCTCTACATATTTTCTTTTTGTATGAATTTATCTTAGTTGTGTAAATCACAGTTTACCAAAGGAACATGCTGCATAGTGGTATAATACTGCTCTACATTATTTGCTTTTCGATAATAGATCCTAGTTGTTTGCTGATACGAATGAACTTTGTGAATATTATGACAGTGTGGGGTGAGGTGATAACTACAGTTGTAAAAGAGGCCTAAGATAGCTGTGAATTATTTCCTCTAGGTCATCAACGTGATAATGCGGCGATTTACTAATCCATGTGCTAACTGAGTTTTAATTTAACTGTGTTCTCTGAGTTGGCTGATTTAATTGCGAAGCTTTCGTTGTCCTTCTAGACAATATCTTTTGCTCAGGTTTTAGAATGAAATGTACTTATTTGAACTCTCCATGAATGATATAGTTGTATCTCGCAACGATGAATGCTTCGCAATTTAATCAACCACCTCAGAGGACACAACAAAATCAAAATCATCCACGTTAGGTGCAAATCTTCTCTATTAATTGAGTTTTAATTTCTCTTTGAATTACTTCAGTCATCATCAAGCCTGCTGTATCGGAGTTTGTTTTCTCTATTATGATTATTTCAGATGGTTTCGCCATGTGGATATACATTTTTGTATTTGTTTTACTGCTTTTACTCAAGGAATCCAACTTTGATGGAGAGTTAAATGCTGTAAGAGAACAGTTCTGTTGTAACCGTAGCGGAATTAAATGAGGACGTTGTTGCCTTGCTCTGTCTGCGCCTGACTAATATGCCTATCTGCTTCTGGTACCTTCCGATTCAACGAACCACGCAAATATCAAAAGACAAAGTCTGGTCTGTGACTGTGTATTGTAGTACAACAACTACGACAAACTATGACAAAGAAACTTATTTAGGAAACGGTATTTATACATTTTTACAACCAATCAAGACAGCTAACAGTATTTGAAATAATTGGTCGTAATAGTCAATAACAAAATGCGTGGGAAATGATGATATACCACATATGCGAGATTAACAGTCGTTAAGATAATTGAACAATAACAAAGTGCTTGGGAAATGATAATATACCACTTATGCGAGATTAACAGTCGTTAAAATAATTGAACAATAACAGTGTGTGGGATCCTACCACCTCTCCCCGTTAAAAGTGTAGGACTTGCTTTTTGGATCTATTTGAAAAGGTTTCGGAGTTCTTCTTTGTCGAGTTGACCTTCGCGTGGTTCTGGATAAAGTGTGATCTGCGTCCCGGGCTTCCGGCTGCGGAAGGATTTGGCGTCGTACGATAATGCAGCAAGAATCTATCCAAAATTTCTTCTGTTGTTCCCTCCCCCTTCGGTTTTGCATAAGCACGCAGGCGTTGCAGGAGAGACTGATCAGATACATATCCGGGAACAACGTTCTTTGGTGAGGACGAAACATTAGAGCATACTGAATTTAATGGTACATTGAAGATATGGAGCTTGTCTAACCAGTCAAGACGAAGCAAATTCAAATCATGGTAGTTTGTGACGTAACATACACCATTGAACTGATGCTCACCAAACTGAACCTGGCAAATTATCTCACCAACGAGTTTCAGTATATCTCCAGAGGCATTCTTAGCGACATGCTCGGTCGGCAGAATCTGTGGGCACCCAAGTTTGCGCCACGTAGTTCGGGAAATTAAGGTGATATCTGATGCCGTATCCAACTGAAGACGAATAGATTTGCTGTTAATACGTAGTGTAATGTACTTACGTTTGCTGGCGAAATCGACTTTGGAAGTTGTGAAAATGGTCTGTACTCGAGGAGATTGTTTCGGCTTGAAACGACTACTTCTGTTCCTCACCGAAGAATTTTTCTGTGGTGGACAGTAACCCTCTTTATGTCCAAAACGGTGACAATTACGGCATTTATGTTTCTTGAAAGGACAGAACTTGACAAAATGCCACGAACCACAGTGCCAGCACACTGAAGGAGGTTTAGGTGAATTCTGAGACTGACGTGTTGTGTGCTTAACGGTGATCGGAGGACTTCTCACTGTGTTAATTGAACCAAATTCAGACGACTGTCGTTTGCACTCCACCATAGCAGTATCGTGCTTCAAGTTGATTAAGCGTTGGCATTCTGCTGTCACCATTTGTAAAGTCATTTTCGGGTCTTGTTCCACGAGTAACAGAAGTCGAGTTCTTATGTCAGTATCTTCTGGGTTCTTCAACCCACAAATAAAAATCAAACACTTGAACTGATCTGATGTCATTTCGTGTGGTTTGAACCTTTCGCATTCCTTGTTCACTTTGCCAGCGTAAGTGACATAATCATCGGAAGGCATTTTTGTCAACTGAAAATATTGATACCGAATATTAAACATGGATGACTGTTCACCAAAGATTTGTGATAAAACGGTGACTGTCTCGTCGAATGATAACTCACGTGGGTTCTTAGGCAGAATGAAGTTAACATATCTGTTGTGCTCAACAGTACCAAGTTTTCTTAGTAACAATCGGACTTTGGCAGCATCATCAAACATGTAGCATTCAATACGGAAAACGTCTTCATAACGATTGAACCATGCATCAAATACGAGACCAGATATTGGGTCGTAGTTGAACTCACTGATGGAATCTGAGATGCTTTCATATTTGTCTGAATGAGATGTTGATGGAACTTGAATTGACAGCTTCTGAGTGAGAGCTTCGATTAATTTTAGTTGAGCTGCTTCATTCTGAACTTGCTGCTGCTGCAAGATAGATTTGAGATCGTCCAGAGAGATAGACATTGTAATTGGATTGTAATTAACACAGTCAAAAATGTTCTATAGCTGCGCTGAACAGAATAAAACCCGTCGTCGCTTGCTTGTTATAACCGCAATGAATTAAAGTAAACCCCGTCGCCAATTTTTTATAACTGTAGGCGAGTTAAATGAGGACGTTGTCGCCTTGCTCTGTCTGCGCCTGACTAATATGCCTATCTGCTTCTGGTACCTTCCGATTCAACGAACCACGCAAATATCAAAAGACGAAGTCTGGTCTGTGACTGTGCATTGTAGTACAACAACTACGACAAACTATGACAAAGAAACTTATTTAGGAAATGGTATTTATACATTTTTACAACCAATCAAGACAGCTAACAGTATTTGAAATAATTGGTCGTAATAGTCAATAAAAAAATGCGTGGGAAATGATAATATACCACTTATGCGAGATTAACAGTCGTTAAAATAATTGAACAATAACAAAGTGTGTGGGATCCTATCAAGTTCAATCAGTTATTCTCGCTAATTGAAATAGTTGATCCTGCATTCAGCGAATACCTTGGTAAGTAGTGTTTTTATTATTATTATTATTATTATAACTTTTCTGTTGTTAGTAATATAGAGATGCAGTGTATGCTATGCCTAAACCTTTATAGGTTACGGTACGTTTTCAGATTGATTGGCTGTCTAAATTATGAAGGTTCACTCTTCTCAGAACTAGCCTATCACTGCTTGTAAAGTGCAGTATTAGTTGTCGATAAACGTCTGTCTGTTTTCAACATGGAACTTTGCACCGATGTGCAGCAGTTCAAGTTGCCACACTCTATGTAGTGCACAAAGCAAGAGAAGAAAGCAGAAGAAATGCAAAATAGAGACAGTAGACAGGGATATCAGACGAAAGGAATGGTAATAACGAAGAACAATATATTTTCACTGGAAATTATAAGTCACAAGGAATGGATGCATCTGCACCATTGAATGCTTCTATGTGAAGTTGGCGACGTGGCTTTAAGAGGCTGTCTGGGGTGTTTCTATGGCTGTGATCGTTGTTTGTGGTGACAGAGTGAAGTGAAGATGCCTCACTAACTTGAAGAATAGTACTAACTGTAGTAGGGGGGGGAAGGTGATAAAGGTGATGTGGGTAGAGAAGAATGATGCTCAGGAAGGCTTTGTGTGCTTTTGGAAGTGTGTGGGCGGTTGTTATTTCCCGGCTGCCCACACCGTGGAAGTTGATTGATTCTTCGAGTACCTGAAACAGAGAGAGAGGGTTAGTGTTGCGTGACCGCGGAGCCCAGGGGACAACTGCTTGAGCCCGGTAGGTCACACAGGGCCTGTATGAACTGGTTTCTTGGTTTGGTTCCGTATTAGTAAACTTTCCGCCGGTTACGGACCACCGTAGGTTAAGTCAGAATGTACACTTGTTGGGGTCGACCTTTTCTAATCCCCGCCTCTCTCCAGAGTGGACAGGCGGCACAGCTAGCATGCTGGTCATCTGAGGAGAACACCTTACTGCTGTTACATCTCTCTTCCTCATCAGTACGACTTCACCTACAGACCCCCAGCATAGTGTAAAAAGAACTCTTACACTAAGCCGGTAACTGCTTTTAGTCTGATCGGTATCCTAACAACCTTGGTTGCATGGTAGGACCTGCAGGAACAGTAGTTCCGACCAGTGTAGCTTATTGGGTCATTGTAATATGTTAGCCCGAACACCACGTCAAGGTAGCAGCTATCGGTTGGGAAGTTATTCATCACGTATATCGACGTGATTTTGTATTTCGGTGCATTATATCTTAGGAATTCATACAGGAGTTAGCGTGATTGTCACACACTCCACACTAATTTGCTTATTGGATATATTACATAGCGGAACGGTATTACTAAGTGGATGAAGTTTCGAACACAATTTACTGTTCATAATCACATCAATCGAAATCACACAACTGCAAAACTCGCGTTTTATTGTTGTATTTACTCCTTTTCATTTGTCTTAGTGGCAGTAGAATTATTCGAATGACCGGGACAGGTGTTGAATCATTCCTCTTGTATGTATTTTCACTTCATTTGATACATAATGCTTCCGTTATCAATCTCTCCCTCCATCCTGTTATCTTAAATTTTAAGACTTTATAAACTAAATTATTCTGCGTAATGATCTCCATACAATCCTTTGAACGAAATAATTAGTTCCCAAGTGAGTTTTTGAGTGTGAGTGACACTTTTCTTACTTGTTAAGAGTCTTGAGTAAGAGTTCCACAGTATTCTCTTTGTGTGATAGCACTACTGACTTTCAAATTTCATCATCTTGCTGTTGTAACTTTTCAGTGTTTCACCTTCACATCGTCCTTATCATTGTTATTGTTATTCCTATGATTTTTCGTTTACTTCCTGACTAGTTTATCAAGAAAACTATTAAGTGCTTGAGCTTCTCTTATATGTTTAATCTTTTTCCATGGGTTTTCTCTAGTCTAATTTAGTTTTTCTGACTTTTAACTCAAACAGTTTACTAATTCTATTTCCACTGGTTTGGACTTAGAATGAGCAGAAATCTACACATTAGTTTAATTGTGTGATATATCCAAAAACAAAAGGCTTCTGTCGATGTTATATTAATTCTAAATTTAAATGTTGGTTATCAAGGTAAGTTTTGTAATGGACATAGCTAGCATTTCGATACAAACAAATATCCTTTACAGACTAAAGACGACAATCAGTACTACATCTGTCCTCCCAGGCATTTTATTTGTAGTAAGTGCAACTACATTTTATACACACGTGAATCCTATTGCATTTTGTTTCATTTAAATTGTAACAACAGAAGACAAGGGCCAGGCAACAGATCGTTTATTAAGGAAATTAGAGCATATTTATATATTTTCATGTACATTATTATAGTTTAATTAAGCAAACAACACAGTCTTCTGATTGGTTGTTTCTCACTTAAAGTTAATCTTTCATCTCTTTGTGACTGTTTCTTGAATGTCAGATCATCTATATGTTAACTGTATCCGCCTACGCAAAGTCTGCTGTGGTCGGTTTTGAATCAGTCTTTGTTCATATTTTCTCACGACAAATCTTGAGAACGTAAACGTTGACGTAAATTACTGTCTACCAATTTGGCTGGTAGACAGCTCTCACCACAAAATAAGGACTGCGATTTTATGTACGGAACACCTTTATTATGCATTTCTATGATTTATAAATTAATATCCACTTCGTTTTCTTTGTTTTTCCCGAACAATATACAAAACTATGTATTCTAGAAATGAAAAGTGCCAAAGAAATGCCATTCTGTTTTCGTTGGTTGCTAATTCATTTTAAAAGAGAATTTTCCTACAATGATACTATGATATTATGGGAGGTATGTTTCATTGTTGCATTTGTAATAATTGTTGAATAATTATTGTCAACTAATCAATACTAAGTATAGAATTGTGTGGATTATTTCTCCTCCTTTGAAAGAAGACAGAAAGCATAGTGATATGACGATGTCTCTTATGAATTTCTATCAGTTATCATGCACATTCTGTCCATCAACTGCTTACATTTAATATCGTATTACAGTGCACAATAGTTTGCTGACAATAATTAGCTTCGTGATCACACATCACGTTTAAGAATAGACAGCTAACAAACTACTTTTGCACCATACAGTGATCTGTTTGCGTGTTAACTATAAGAAATTTTTACCAAGGCCTTTCAGCAACCAGTAGTTACTGTACAATCGTGATTTGTTCATCTATGAGGTATAGATGTTGAAGGTGTTTTCGCTCCATTTATCGTCTGTTAGACTAACTTTTGCTCCCGACTTGCTATTGGTTTCACTTGTTTCAAGAATGCTGTACAAACCCTTGTAAAGTTAGGAGGTATTCTGAGTTGGAAACGTTTTGATTCCTGCACAACTCCGGGGTTATTTGCATTATTCACGTTTGAGTCAGTATCAATTCTTCCACTTTAGTGTAGGCTAACTAAAGATTCATACAGACTATGTTTATTTCCACTGGATATGATTGCTTCAGGACACCGTTTCAGACTTTATAAGTTGAATGACAATAACTCCTAAATGACTTGCAAAACTACTATCAGTGTAAACCAGTAGTTTTCAGCAACTAGCTGAATATATATGTAAGATTGTGGAGCTAATTTTGATAAAATATGCTGCAACATCGACACCGATTTCAACCTCATGGAGATTTATTGTCACCGGAAATGTGATTCAGTCGGCTTATTTGCATTTTGAATTCGCAACTGAAGATAGACTTTGTGGGCTTCCAAGATAGATTTTGCACCGTCGATACATTTCAGATGGTTTCAGCAAAGGTGGGATTAGAAATGAAGGCTGGTAGATGTTTCCGAGTCATTTTTGTGTGTACACTGAGTCAGTAATTTACAGCAGTAGCGGTAATAATATCATACATAATAGCGTAACTTACCATCTAGTACTGCGCCAACCTATTCCTACAGTTAGGTAGTGCTCAAGGAGAATTATTGTGGGATCGATGTTTTGTACTTTATCCTGTTAGTGATCAAATGTGAAACCACCTAAAAGTTAAAAAAGTGGTAATCTTCATAATACTTTGAGGTGATTGACTGAATGTATCTGTGTATGAATTTGAATGGTATTAATGTTACAGTTCGAAGTGTTTAAAGGGATGACTTTGAACTCCATTTTGAGATTACTGTTACCATGGGTGTTTTTCTCATCATTGTGTTACTGTCGTATGATCTTTACCATTTGGATTTTAGGACACACATTTCTGTCGAGTAACGGACTGAAGTCTATGCGTGTTTAGTCGCTTTCTCATAGGATTTCACGATTTCGGGTATTTTCTTCTATTCTCATTTAGGTAATTTGGACAGATTATCGTACAAAAAATTTCCATATATTTTTCGCTGCTGCTGTGCTATTAATGCAAAGAGATAATATAATGAACAGGAAATATGATGCAAATAGTATATTAAAGGTAAATTTGACCTTATTCAAATGTTTTACTGTTATTTATATTATTCAGACATAGTAAAACATTGACACGATACACTACCCCAGATCTGAAAGTATTTTTTTTACTTGTAATGACTGATGGGTTGGTTAACGGTACTGTGGTGATGTGAATGACAGAATTTGTATAGCAGTTGAACTTTTATTATTCTAGCAAGTCAACGTCCATTGTGGGCAATTTAGGTTATTTTATTGGAAAATAACCAATTCAACTTTTGAAAATAAGGCCAACATTACAGTTATGGAAAAAAGGCGATCCAGACTATGGCTTATATTGATACTACTTTTGTTACAAACAGCCTAACGGTTTAACTATCTGATTGACTTGTCAACGTAGAACTTCACACAGAAGGTCAGTAGTTCAAGTTAGCACACTGTACATATAGCACACAATTGTGAAGTAAATAAATTCAGGAGACTATAATTAACGGAGATGTATGGGAAAGATAATAAGTAAGTGGAAAGTAATGAGACTTTAATAGATCTTATAGTTCAAAGAGAGTGAATAAATCTGCAGCGTTGAGAACAGTGGCTCAAACCAACTGTCAACGATTTCAAGGATTGATGCCGAGTATTGGTTTAACCACTCCTAATTCTTTTCCGACCTAATCGTGTGCCAGCCAGCATTGCTCCTTGAGGTAGGCGATGGCGTGGTGTGCGCAACATGTGCCCTAACCATCTCAGTCTATGTAATTTCACAATGTCATCGATTGACTTGATTGACTTGTATGATACATTTACCTAACCGTGCAACTGAAATAGTTTCTACTTAACTGCTTTCTTCTTCTTCTCCTCGTCCTCGTCCTCGCCAACTTAGCATGTGAATGAATTATCAATGAAAATTCCACTAGAAGCATCCCTTAATTATGCTACAGCTTTACTGTCTCAGTTAGAACAAATTTCCGATTCTCTACCGAAATCCGTACGGAATATTATCCATGGACAGTCGTTGGCGATGTCTAGACATGTCAGTGAATCAAAACAGAAAGGAATCAATTGTCCAGATCCACCATCTATATACGACTATTCGCCGACACTATTAAATGAAGAATTAGAGGTGCTGATGGACAATGAAATGTATGATCCTAATAAAGATGTGACTAATCAGTCTATACTAATGATTCCTTCTGATACTAATCGACAGTTTTTTTCAGTGATTTTAATGAATTAACTAACTTGATTATTATGCGAAACCAAGTGCATTATGTTATTGGATAACAAGTCATAATGTTTGCAGTGTATTATTCTTTTCTTTATAATCAGACTCATTATTTATTACAAAACTTATGTAATGTATTTCACACATCATGTATATATATATATAAATTCCCATCATGTATTGACTAAAATGATTATGTTTCAACACCTTGATTACAAACTGAATTGAATAACTTGAGTTATGTTTTGCGAAATATTATATTACTTCTTGTATCATTTTGATTTTGCTTGATTGTTTTTGTTACAAAGTCAGTTTTTCTATTTGCCAAAAAGAAACGTAGTTTTCTGAACATTTCTCTACTTATCACATTGATATTTGTAAGCATACATACGAAGGTGACAGCAATCCCATACTGTTTATCTGAGCCGTGGGATGAGATGTAGGCTGTGATTTTTAAGACGCTAAGTAAGAGTCAGAGTTTGGAGACTCTGTCAAGTGACGTGGGATAATCTACAGTATCCGACATCTGTTCATCCCTTAATGTCGATGTTCCAATCAACACCACTGTCTGTCTGTTGTATTATTGTATTTCCCACACATTTTTGTTGTCTAAAGTGCCTTAACATTTCGGTTCTCTGCTGGTTTTCCGAAAAGTGACAACTTGGACTTATCACGTTGGTTTGTCTTTGCAGCTGTGTTTTATGCATGAGTGATCGTATGCATACTGTTGTTGTATTTTGCTTAACTTCAGTGATTGATGTAATCTTAGCCTAGTCATCTGGAGTTTCTTCCACTAAGCTATGAAGTCTCTTTTCATTTAATATTTTAAAACAAGAAAAAATGTGAGACTTCGTTCAGATATTAAGTCTCCACATGACTTGTCAAGCTGAGTATTTGATACATTGGATAATTTATATGAAATCGCAACTTTTCAATACATAGAGGTGGAGACAGGTACATCAAGATGTGAACAAGTTGCTGGGAAGTTTTACGTCTAATAGACGCTGGGTCAGCGGTTCATTAGTAGATATGGATCATCGTCGGTGCATTATATCGTGTGTGTTATCGGTTAGATGGACATGCGTCGGAAACCGCAATGTATCCAGAGGTATTGTCAACACAAGGTGACTATCCCATTCAGTCCCTTCAGCGAGAAGTCATCATAGCTGATTGTTTTAGGGGATGTGTATTTATGCGAATGAGCAAAGAAAAGTGGTGAATACACAATATGGATCACTGGTCAGGTGGAGAAATAGTAGAGTTGGACATATTGAAGGCACCACGCTCTGTGACGCATTGAATATCACGACGTTACTTTGACAATGTGTCAGATTGTTCACCAGAGGCAATCAGGTTAAGCTTAGGAACAATAGTTACCAGTCAACTGGTTTGCTTATTGCTGTCATCCAAATTGTGCGTATAGTTTAGAATGGTAGTGTTGTTTTTTAACACTTATGGGGCAGAAGTGACCAGTGTCTGATAGGTAATTTCAAACATCATGTTGGGGGTTTATAAAAGAGGATGAATGCTTTTTAAATCCTTCCCATTTATATTTTGCTTCTGAATACCTTTCGTATTGTATGTTTCGTTTTCCTATTCTTCTTCTCGTGTTATTATCGTTATTGGTATGATGGTTTTGGATGTTTCTTCAGTGGGCTTCATTCATGATGGCATTTTATGAGTTGGGTTCCAAATCAGCGTAGAATATGTTTCTTTTTGGACTGTATTCAGTAGATATGTTGAGTGTGGTGTGTAGGATTTGAATGCAGCTTGTATATTTTTCCTACAGCTAAAGCCAACACTACTTTCTGTCTGAAAATATTTCTCATTAGAACCAACTGTTTAATTATTGGCTGAGTACGCTTGTTTGTGATTCGATTAGCGTGCTTGATATACGTGGTTAAGTCTCAGGTAGTGTTTCGATTTGCCGTAGCTGTTGTATTGACTTTCTATTAATTGTTCGCCTTTTTGATACCCGTAGGTGGTGATACCCGACCTTCTTCCAAATCAAACAACTCAGTGAAGAAATAATGTAGTTGCTAATTTTTATGTGAACTGATTGATTTACCAGAGAACTGAAAATTATGTAGTTGAATTGCTTTGAGCTCGCAGGTTGAAACACGTAACTGCAAGTATTAATTGCGTAGAACCAGCTTTCATAAGACCGTCGATAAAGGATTGCTTATCAGAATCAGACATTCCCATCGACAAACAACACTAGGACGGTGTTCTTTTCTCTCTGCAGTTCACGTATGATATAGCTTTCATTTAGCTTTCTTGGCGTCTCCTATTTCCTTAGTCTTTATCATTGAGAACATGAGGCTTCTTGTTCAACAACGATATAGTTATGAGAACTAAATTGTGCTTCGAACGTCATCCAGTTATAAATACTCGATTACAGACTCATGTCAAATAAACATATTTAATATGCAGTCGCTTACACAGTGGATATTGAGTGGTGCAGATCTACGCTTCCCAATAGCTAACAATCGCAGCGAGCAGTAAACTTGTGGAGAAACATCTTCAAGACAAATGTATAAGATATCACTTCATGCGAAGTCGGTAACGTTTGCAAAACAATGAAGCTGAGTGGTTAGTAGTTCACAAGAAGTCGGTATTATGCATCGTGTGATAAAGACTTTATCTAATATTCTTATACCAATAAATCCATATGATAAGACAATCTTCGAACAGGTGTGTGTGTGTGTGTATGCGCATCCTATGGTGATGTGTTTCGACAGGTATGTTGTAGGATCTACTTGGCAGGCCACAGTGTTGGTGCAATAATTCCAACTGGGTTGAATGTCGAAGGAGATTTTCTCGTTAGCTTCATGTTAAGATAACGTGTTTGAAAGTAAGTAGTAGTATCAGTTAATAGATCCTATTTTATGCTTAACATCCTCATTTTTCTCTTTAGATGGAAGAATATTGATGTTTGTTTCTATACGATTTCCCTCTGGTCAGTAGGCTGGCTATTTAGTGAAATTGAATCCGCCTGTTTTCAGAGTTTGCTCCGACTGGGAACAAATTAGCTGACACTCGTCAAAATAAAATTCTTCCCTAGCTACTTGAATAACAAACACTCTTATCGAACATATCAGTGTCATCTAGAATGGTCCTTTGTAACGCAAACATGGTGCAACTTCATGAAGAGGTTGATCCATTAGAATGTACTTTCACTCTGTTATCTACTGCTTCCGTCTGCATGTTGCTTCTCTCCTTCAGTCACCACCATAAGAATTTGATAGCACTTTGATGATACAGAGGAACAACTACTTGGTGAAAGATAGCTTCTATGTCTACGATGTTGTGAATTGGTCTGTGCGAAAATCTCATAAAGACGTCCACCAGATTATTCATCAGATCGGGACCAAGGTATAAATTGTTATTCAAAGATGTCCTTGTCCACTGTGATGAGTAGTAGAGTGCAATCCTTGATTTATTAGGCTTTTTATGAGGGAACACTGACTGAGTGGTGCGCTACATGCATACACGGATAAACTATTACTTGTCTTGTCGAACTCAGTCTTATAAAACCAATGAGACGTGGTCTCTGTTTTTTCTGTAGGTGATGTAAACTTCACTATGCTAGTTCCCCCCAAAGAGTTCTACTCTGGAGTCCATGTAACATCCAGCCTAAAGAAGATTTAATAGCACAAGGTTGAATAACTCCACCAAGCGTTTTGTCAATTGTTACATGCACTTCTGGCACCTTACAACCAACTTACATCTTAATCTCTTCATCTTTAACGCTTGTCAGAACTGCACCATGCAAATGGTTCACAAGTGTTTGTAACTGAGTTAGTCCTTAACTGTCCATGCCTTTGAAACTTACCTGAGAGGAGGAACCTGCTGGCGAAACCTGTAGTTGTACCCGTCTATAGAATAGAGTGGGATTTTCTCAGTCGTCCCTTCTAAACCTATTTATGTAGCTAGATCCTGGCAACGAGCGTTGCATCTGACCCACTTTTCAGTTTGGACAACTTTTTCTTTATGTCCATCTGACACAGGCACTACTGAGAACGCAATCTAACTTGTCACATCGCTTCACTGGTATAAGAAAAGAACTTGGGCACTTTGGTAGAATATAATTCCATCATGAAGTGGATTTATTTGATAAAAGCACACAGTGGTACAGTATTGTTATTTGCTGATGACGTTTTGGAGTACAGTTTGTTCCTTGATTGAGTTTGCACGTTTGAATGCCACCCCAGTAGGCGCTGTATTAAGAATCATACGTAGGTTTCCAGATGTCCCTTCCTTGTATGGTAAAAGTGTGCACGCCTTAAGTTCTTTGTTATTTGTATTGTCGTCAGCAGTCCCACTACTCTTCTTGCTTTTCTTGTCAGCTTCTGTGGTCGTCTTCATGGATTTTGTTGGATTTTTACCTCGCATCAGCGCTCCTCCTTCCATCTGTTTTGTTTCGTTGGTTAGGTTTTCTGATGCACTACCTTGAGTTGTATTGCTCGGTTAATTAGACACTTAACTATGCCTGCCTTTACAGGTGACGGATGAGATGAATGAAAGCCTAAGTGTCGGTCAGAGTGAGTTGGATTTTTATAAACTCTAGTGCATAGTCTACCTTCTCCTATCCGTTTTTTGTCCTATAGTTTAACATAGCTGGATCTCCTTGTTGATTTTCTGATTTAATTGTAAATTTAGTTTCCTGTACTGTTGAGTTTACATGTGTAAATCAACTGGAGATGTGTTCTGTTTTTGCAACACCGTGAAAGTGTCATCCACACATCTGCACCATATCTCTGGGGTGGAGTTAAATGCTCTAAGAGCCATATTTCTCCAATAACCTATAAAGATATCTGATACAATTGGGGATATTGGTGATTCCGTTGACACCCGTTTTGTTTGTTAATATATTTTTAGCCCTGGAATTTGAAGGCAGTAGATGTGAGGCATAACTGGATTCCTGAGATAATTTCCTCAACAGGTAACTTTGTCCTATGTGTGAGTTTGGAATCAGCAGTTAGTTGTTTTCTAACTGCTTCCAAAGCCAT